GGGTTCTGATCTCATCAATGGATAAATCCATTGAGTTCATAATTGAATGGACTATTGGGAGGTGGTGAAACTGTAGGAAGTAGGATCTAGTTGAAGGGAGTGGTCTTTGAAGGTGTGCAAGCCAACAAAAATAAAGGGAAGCTAGGTGACCAGACTGCCCTCAAAGTCTGGCTATAAGGACAAGTTAAAAGAAACTGCACCATCAGAGGTTGATGGCTTCTTTACTACTGGCTCCATCACCACTGTATACTAGATAACACTGTCTTTTCCACAAGGTCTGAGCTAGCTTTCAGCACCAGATTTCAGACAGATCTTTCATGGAGGAAGACTGAATTCTTCCTCCCCAGCTCACAGAGTGGTAGACTTCTCACACATCAAAAAGAGCTCAATATGGTAAGCAACCACAAAAAATAAAAAGAAAAATTTCTACTATGTCTAGTTTTACTCCAAACTATACTCTGGATAACATTCTCTCAATGTAGCCAAACATGTCATTTTGTTTTGTTTTGTTTTGTTTTGTTTGCACCTGTTGCCCTTTGCTGAAGCCTGTCTTCTACATGATATGATTACCTCAACCCCTATCCCTTTATCTTACTGTCATCCAATGTATTGCCAGATAAATATGGGTACTTGATACCTTTAAGAATCAAAAAAAAAAAAGTGTGTCCATCTTTATCAACTCTTTCCTGACCAACTAATTAGACAGAATTCACTACTCCCTCATTTGTGTCCCCTAACCATGTCTCATACACATTTCTTTTGGGGGGTATAGGGGGTGGTACTGGAGATTGAACTCAGGGAACCCTGAGCCACATCCCCAGCCCTATTTTGTATTTTATTCAGAGACAGGGTTTCACTGAATTGCTTAGTGTCATACTTTTGCTGAGGCTGACTTTGAACTCTTGATCCTCCTGCCTAAGCCTCCCAAGCTTCTGGGATTACAATCATGTAGCACTGCGCCCAGCTCTCATACCTATTTCTATCATCCATTTCATGTCTGTCTCACTCAGCTCATGATAACCTCTTTATCATTTTTACTCTAGACTTTTTTGTTTACAGTGCCCATTAACTATTAGGCACAATGCCTAATAGTTAATGGGCACTCAATGAATATATTATGTTGAGTGAAAATTAATGAATACCATTCATCTAGAACATAGTTAATAAGAGCTTATAAAGTCTAGTATCTGTGTGTGTGTGTTTTTTCCCCAGCCATACATATTATTCTGTACTTGAGACATAAGGTGGTTTCTTATATTCCTTTTTTAATATTTATTTTAGGTTTATTTATAATTTCTAGAACCCTAAAGAGACTCAGATGAAGCAGAGAGTGTTCTGGAACTCCTGGATAGATTACCAGTTCTTATGTTCCTACTTGGAACTTATGTCTTATATTTCCTAATATCCTAAGGAGAATCTAGACTGTAGTTCTATTCATAGGTGGTCTCCTGTTTTCCATTCTCTTCCACCAAAATCTATTCTCCAAATAGTAGCCAAAAACAATCATTGTAAAATATAAACTAGATTTGTTTTTCAATAGCTTCCCATTACACATAAAATAAGCTCCAAATTCCCTGTCTCTGGAAATAAGGCCCTTTGGGGCTATCTTCAGCCTACCCCTTTCTCTCTATTGGGCACCATTCTTCTGACTCTCTATGGTCCAGCCACAGCAGCCACTTTTCTGCTCACCAAGGCAATAGAGAAGGCCCTTTTCTGACCAGGAATTTTTGCTCACTGTTTCCTCAGTCAACAACATTCTTGTTCTCATTCTTCATGTGGATGGATTCTTCTGTTCTCAGCCTAAATAATACATCATTAAAGAGATTACCCTGACGACTCTGTCTAAAGCTGCAAAACTGCTCAGCCTAGCTTCTTTCTTATCATGTGTCATGGGTTTAATTGTGTCCCCCTTCCCCCGCAAAAAAAAAAAAAAAAAAACTTGTGTCAAAGCCTTAATTCTCAGCATTTACGAATATGACCTTATTTAGAAATATGGTCCTGGTGCAGCTATAAAGTTAAAATAAGGTCATTCGGGCACTCATCCAATATGACAAGTTTATAGATTAAAAGGGAGACATTTGGACACACACATGCACAGAGACAACACCACATGAAGTTATATTGGGAGAAGATAGCCATGTTATTTAAGTGATCATCCATAAGCCAATGAATACTAAGGATTACCACAGACCCCAGACTCTAGAAGAGGCTAGCTAGAGAAAGGGAGCCTACTAATACCTTGAATTTCAAAAATATAGCCTCTAGAACCAAGAAACAATAATTTTTTGCTGTTTTAGGCCATTAGTTTAGGCATTTTGTTACAGCAGCCCAAGGGAACTAATACAGCTTGTCAGCACAATTGTGCTTTTGCAACACTCATCACAATCTGTATTTTTGTGGTCTATTTCTTTGCCTGTCTGTTTAATACAATTACCCCTTCTAGAAATTGCTTCCAGTGAAATAAAGACCTCGTTTACCCTCATCACTGCAATGTCCCCAAAACTTAGCTATCCACAGATGATCAAACAATAATTGTCATATAATCAGCTGATATATCAAAAACATATTTTTGTTGATCAAATAATATTTATATAGCTGCATTAGATAAAAAGATACTGATAGTTCAGTGGAAAACTCTTATTTCTAGAAGAGAATTCAGGACACTTGTACTAATTATAGAGTACCATTTTTTAATATGAAAGAAAAAGTGGAATATCCCTTTTTTGGATATTATCTTATAACCAAAGTCAAATAATGATGCCTGTACATTTTTGTGGAGATTGATGCCAAGATTCATATGGAAACTTTCTCAGGCTCCAGATGTTTTGTCTGATGCCATTACATAATTAGACCCCAAAAAGTCTCATCTTACCCCTTGCTATCATTCATCAGCTCAATTATTTTTTTTTAATTTCTCTTCTAGATGAAATTCAAATACTTCCTTTGGCTGTAATAAAAGCTGATGCCTTGGGATTCTTCATCTGTTTCATCTTAGCCTCCACCAGTCCCTCATTTAGTCATCTTTTGGGGTTTAGACATTAGCCTGACACCAGGGGAAATGACAAACATCTGTTAAAATGAGCTAAAGGATGGGAAATACATTATGAAGAGCTTGAGTTATTTCAGAGGAAAATGATGATGATGGTCAAAGAATAGCCTTAGTATTTGAAGGAGATGGTAACAACTTAATTATAAATTTATCCTAGTTTACTTAGCTAAAGAGCATAATCCTCATTCTGGAAAGAGGAACCCATTAGACATACTCAATTGAGACTTAGAATTTAAAGGGAAGCAATGATTTCCAGAAGGTCGACATGGGCTCAAAATTGTGTGGGGGGATATATCCCAAGTTAAACTCAATTTCTTTTTTCATATATAATTTCTATTTTTTTACTTAACAGTAGCACTTGGAAGACATCAAAATCAAATGCTGAATTTTATCACAACTAGTGCTATCTAAATAGCTGAAACAGTTGAAGGACATGAACTTTGAGGAGCCTTGGCATGCTAGATCTTTACTATTAACAATTATAGTGTCATTCCTGACCAACAACAATGGACTGCATTAAACATCCAACCAACACTGAACATGGGACTCATTCTGTCTTATCTAGAGGGTGCATTTTCAATATTCAAAGAACATTACCATCCTCATTTTTAACACCTGAAAACCCGTGGATTTTCTCCACAGTGATCCATTTAATGAGTTTTCTTGTTTGCAAGCAAATCAATTCAGCTTAAAAAAAAACAACTAAAACTCTTTGTTTCTTTGTTTAACATTGCCTAAGACATGAAATAGGCATAGTATAAATAGATTTGGAAAAAAACATCTAAAGATATCTGCAAAGAGGTTTAGGTAGAAAATGTGTTTTCTAATAAGACCACATTAGTATTCTAGCATTACAATCTCCCAGAAGCAACTGAGAAGCCTTTCCTAAAAGGAAAATCAGGATGGAAGTGTAGCTTGGTGGTAGAGCACTTGCCTAGCATGTGTGAGGTCCTGGGTTCAATTCTAGCACTGTAAAAATAAATAGATAACATTTTTAAAAATAAAGTGGGGATAGGTAACCATGGTCTACTGGGTGAATTGATTTTGCTAAGGCCATATACTTCATAAAATGGGTTTTACTCTGATCTAAAGCAAAACTATTTTAGTATTACTAAGGAGCCTCTCTAATCTGTTAGACATAACACACTTTCTCCCAAATGACAGACAACTGAAGGACCTGGAAGTCTCTGGATTGTTGGGAGGTTTTTGTTTGTCTGTTTGTTTGTTTGTTTGTTTGTTTTTCTTTTAAGCACTTCTCTTTGATATTTTGACAAGCATGAGATAAAAAAAATTTGTGATTGGGCAGACTTAACATGAATGTTTGTAGGACGTCAGTATGCTTCTTACTGTTAATCTTTCAAGTTTATTGGCTAATTTCAAACCTTGTGTGCAAAGTGAGATTAGCAGAGCTGCATCTCTGTTATAGTTTAACTCCTGTCAAAGATTAATTCTTACCTAATACTATTGTAGAAAAGATTTTTTAAATGTACATTACTAGGTCAGATAGAATCACAACTGGATGAAGGAATGGACGACAACTGCTTACTTTTGAAAACATTGTTATCACTTAATCCCTACAATTTGCAAATATTTGCAAAATATTTGAAAGACCACTAGTTCAATTACATCATTCTAAAGTGGAAAAAATAATAACAGCCTAGAAATAAAGTGACTTGCCTCAGGACACTGAGGTATTATTGACGACAAAGTCAAGAATCCTCAGCTCAATACAAGAGGGTCCTTTCTGACCACCACACAGCTTCTCTTCAAGAAGTCCAGTCAAAAAAGAATTCTGGGGCTGGAGTTGTGGCTGACATGTGTGAGACCCTGGGTTCGATCCTCACCACCACATATAAATAAATAAAAATTTAAAAAATAAAAAATCCATTAACAACCAAAAAGCACTTAAAAAAATAAAAACAGTATTTTGAGCTGTCCTTAGCTGACACCGATGACTCCTGGCTCTGGAATGAAAGAAGAAAACAATGTAGCTAAGGTACATTTCAAGGTGGAAAGTGACTATTCAATTCTCCAGGGCTAGGCTCCCTAGCTCCTGAACCCCAGTCTAGGTTTATATTATGCTAATAGTAATTCACTTTATATCCTTCTAATTATAATGAACACAAATCTATAACCTGAGCCACAGGCTTCCCTTTCTTACAATACTGCATTTCTGAGGTAGTGTTTGCAAAAATCCCAATAACAGTAACAAAATTCTAACCCAAGGGGAAACAGAATTTTGCCATATATCTAATTAGTACTTTAAAATTAAAAGAGCTTTGTAAAACATTACTAATTTTTTTTTAAAAAAAATTAGTCATAAGCAACAATAACAGGAACAAATGCACTGCTTCTTACCCACACATGCATGACTTTATATAGAATCTAAGAAAAAGAAATTCTTGTACTAAACTTCTGAGATTTAGAATCTTCCAATGTCCACGCCAAGTACTTGGGTAGAACTTCAAGAATTTCTTGTCCAGTGAGGCCTTTTCTTGGTCTCGTGATGAATAGGTAGTATACTTATCTTTATTTTGATACTGGACTATCTCTAAGCAGTCATGTTCAGATTTCTATTGTTCACACTAAGGGTTACTGTTGTTTTTTGTGTTTTGAAGCATTTCTTTTCCTTTGCTTCTCTATTTAAAAAAACTTATTGTTCTCATAAATTCCTGTTATTTAAAATCAAACTCAAAGAAATATTTTATTAAATTCAATAAATAGCTCTAATAGGTCTTCAAAAATAATAAAAGCTTCTTTAGAATGGTTAGATTATCTGCTGAGTGCTGGAATTTTAATAGCTAAGTTCATAATAATGATGTTTTGTAATGTTATATTGAAAAATCTGTTAAACTGCATAATGTATAATATCATATATGGTACAGCAATTTACAGACTTGTAACTGGTGTCCTGGGCCTTGAAACTTGGAATTGCTCATTTTAGGAAAGTAACCAAGTCTCAGGGGTTTAATTTTCCTCAGATAATAATCAAAGTAAACATGTTCAATATATAATAAAAGTCTATTGACAGGTGGTGTGCTTTTCCTCAGTTGAAGTTAAACCACAAGTCATACCTTGTCCCCCATATACATAATGTTACATATGCATATAGTTTAATGTAAGTGCAAAAAGCCTATAATCTGTGTACTATTCTCACCTCCACAAAGCAGTACACATTACAACATGGTTGACCTTACACACTTGTATGTCTCTATGATCATTAGAAATTCACTGTCAAGTTTTTAAAAAGCACATATGAATTGAGTTACAAATCCATTCTATGAGCCTAGCTCCAATGTACAGAAAGTGAAAAATCTCTCCCTTTCATCATTCTCTTCTTTGTCCTCTACTTGAGGGTCCATCTTCAGTCAGTGGAGACCATTTACTGGTTTCACTGCCTGGTCAGTGTCAGATGCAATCAAACTTTTATCCAATGACAAAAGCACTCATTTGCTAGTCTATCAGAAGCAATTGTAACACTCATGCCTTAGAAGATCAAACCATACAATGGACCAGTTGAAGGAAGCGTACTCTAGAGGCTGTTATAAACTGTGACTTGTCTATTGACAATTATTTGTTTCATCTTAAGGTTTACTGCCTTTGCTTCACTGAGACAAGAAATATTTAATGAGCTCCTATTATGTGCTAGGCACTGGGCTAATATGAAGCATTATGTCTTTTATGTAAGGACAGCATCACAAACAAAAAATGTGACTGATGAACACTATCAGTGCAAACGGTGACACAGATCTAAATAAGGTGTAAATTGGTTTGGAAGTAATGTCGCCCTCTTCAAATTCCAAAATAGTTTTCTTTTCTATAATTTAGTCACTGCATAATTATTGAGCATCACCTACTAGGTATTAGGCATAGTGCCTGATTTTTGAGTAAGTAGACATAAAACAAGATATAGTGATATTCTATATAGAATATATAGTCTATG